GCCTACACCACCACATATGCATGCCCCAGGTCCTTCTACAGCAGCCCCTGTCACCGTGACTACTCAGAGGCTCCCTTCGTCTGTCGCATCTTCAGATCCTATGATAGATATTCCAGCAGTATCACAGGCAGCACCTGCCCCAGCTCAGACCCAGACCGCTTCAGCGACGCTTCCAGCCATAGAGGGTCAGTCAGCACAGAGCTTAGGGTCAGATGATGATGCTGCCCAGTTTCAGCTTGCTCCTCGTTCTTCAGCGCCCGGCTCGTCCGCTGCAGCCCCGCCGACTAGCCCTTAGGTTTTGGTATTTGACACCAAAGGGGGAGAGGGTTCGAGTATGTAGACTCAGGGGGAGCGACATTTAGGGGGAGCTAGTTAGCTATTATCTTTTATATACATTTGGAGTTTTATTTGTGTGATACACTATTACTATTATGCATTCGTGTGTTTACTTTCATGCATACTATTATATCTATGTGATAGTGATATCTACGTCTTTGTGATATATGACATGTGTGCTCTCTACTTTGAATTCTTTAATATGTCATATCACTTGAGCTATGCTCATTTGCCTTTGCTTCCACGTTTTTACTTCGATGCAAATGAGTCTTTCTTATTGTACTCATGCTAATTTCATATCATTTGAGTACATCATGATGGCTTGGGTTATATAAGCTTGACTAACTCTTTTGTTCTTATTGCTAAAAGCTTATATGATCCAAGCATGTTAAAAACCTCAACTCTTTCACATACTCGAGGTTGTATTATCATCAATCACCAAAAAGGGGAGATTGAAAGCATCTAGGCCCCTAGTTGGGTTTCGGTGATTAATGACAATGTTAGATTACTGTGACTAATGTGTGTTTTGCAGAGGCAATTAAGTTAGGTCATGGTAATGGTGATCAATTGGGCAATCATGTTGTCATGCCCCTACGATGGAAATCGTTTTGGTTTTCAAAGGATGGACGACAAGGTTAAGGATGACTAGTTCTAAGTGTCGATTGGAGTTGGAGAGACACTTAGAGTAGTTTAGGACTTTGTTTTTCCTTTGGCCGTACTATTAAGGGGGGTATGGATAGGTAACTTGACCTAGATGAGTCTAGTGAGTTAGGTGTGGTGCACACTTGTTGAAACTAGCACTAGGTAGCTCCTAAATATGCCTAAGATCCTTTGGAGCAAACTTCATTCACAAATGATCGAGAGTTGGAAGTGAATGGAGGGTCAAAGACTGACCGGACGCTGGCTCCGGTGCGACCGGACGTTGGCCACAGGGTCCGATCAGTTCATTTGACTGAGGTGAACTAGTCTAGTTTGACCGGACGCTGGAGAGGTCAAGTGACCGGACGCTGAGGACCAGCGTCCGGTCGACTCCAGTAAGGTTCCAGTGAGGGATATTTGCGACCGGACGCGTCCGGTCAGTGGTGACCGGACCCTGCCAGCGTCCGGTCAACACTTAAACATTGGTGTGCGGGTTGAACTAACCGGAGCGTCCGGTCACCCCGCAGAGGCACATAACGGTTCGTTTTTCAGGCTGTCTTATAAATAGAAGCTAAACTCATGTGTGGAGTCACTTTTGCTCATTCCAACAGCTGAGAAACACACTCATGAGTGCCAAGAAGAGCAAGGTCCTAGTGAGGTGTTTGTGATTTGAGAATCCAAGAGTGAAACCTCATTAGTGAATCAAGAGTAGCAAAGTGTGCATCCATCTTCTCATTAGGCTTTGCGTGGTCAAGTGAGAGTTCGTGCTTGTTACTCTTTGTGATCGCCATCACCTAGACGGCTTGGTGGTGATTGGGAGTTTGGTGATCATCCGGAGAGCTTGTGGGTGACCCGACTCAAGATTGTGAGCGGTTGTGGGTGATTCACCGCGACGGAGTGTCGAAGAATCAACCCATAGAGAGCACTTGATCCTTGCGCGGATCAACGGGGAGCTACACCCTTGTGCGGGTGCTCCAACGAGGACTAGTGGAGAGTGGCGACTCTCCGATACCTCGGCAAAACATCGCTGCGTTTCCTCTCCTCTCTTTAATTTCAGCATTTACTTTAAGCATTACTTTGAGCAATTCAATTCTTATCATTTACATCCCTAGAATTGCCATGCTAGAGTAGGATTGGAACTTATGTTGCAAGTCTATTTGTGCGATAGAACATTACAAACACTTTCTAGGCACAAGGGGTTAATTGGGCTATCAATAGGATTTAATTATTGCAAGAAAATTTAGAATTAGCCCAATTCACCCCCCCTCTTGGGCATCTTGATCCTTTCAGTGAGGCCCTGTTCGCTGGTTTGAAACTTGGCTGAAACTGGCTGGTTTTGTGAGAGAGAAATACTGTAGCGACTGGTTGATGAATAGTGTTATGTGAGGAAGAGCAGCCGGCTGGTCTGGAACTTTCAGACCAGCGAAGGTCAATCCTAGGTCTCGCGGCGGCCACGTGTTAGGTCAGGCTCCGCTATGGTTGCCGCATCACCTCGCAGTCGCAGATCTTTGCTGTACACATAGGCGGCTTTGTTTATGTAATCCAATTTGGTTAGTACGCCCTCCTGGCACTTGATTAACCAACCTAGGCCGCCGTAGCTGGGCTAGCTAGGGATCAGTAACCCACGCGGGCTGGGGGGCTGGGCCTATGCTGTGGGCCCCGCAACAGCTACTGATTCGGGAAGCGTGACCCGTTTTTGTACAGTAGCAGCAGCGCGCAGGCACGCACAGCCGTGGCGTGGTTTTCTGAGAGAGAGATGAAAGTGGCACGCATAGCCGTGGCGTGGCACGCACAGTTCGGCTTGCTGAAACTCGGTTGAAAGTGGCTGAAAAACACTGTTCTGGCTAAAATGTTGTAAGAGAAAAATACTGTTTTGGCTAAAAAAAGAAGCCGAACAAGTCAGATTTAAGGTAAGCCGAACGGAGGGGTCTTGGTGTGCTAAATTCTGCATCTTGAGGCATAGACGTGGAGGATGTCGTCGTAGCGGACTCCCACCCATCCCGAGAGGAGATGATGATGCGCTGGCTGCTCACCATCACCGGGTTGTTTTCTCATCTCTATTGTACTGTACTAGTACTGTATATCTATAATACTCCCTCCGTCCCAGTTTATCTGTCGTCGTAGCGACAGTAGAGTGTCCCAATTTATCTGTCGTTGGCTACTCATGTCGTATTGGTAGTAGCTGTACCGCAGCGCACCACGCGTTGTCGACCAAGGCAAGCCTTATCGCTTCCCTCCCCCTCCCAGCCTCACACAGCAACTTCACACACCACGAAAAAAAAGCATCCTCATCCCCATCCTCATCGCCCTCATCCCCAATCTCGGCGGATCCGCAAGCTTGTCGTCGCGGCCGCCCTCCGGCGACTCCCCTCCACCAACATGGTCTAGCGTCGGGTCACGCAAGCAGGGAGCGCGGGCTGCTACTCCGCGCGACGCCGCCAAGGCTCTACGGCAGCGCACTGTGCCTGCCTCCTCCGACCACGCCTCGTCCTTGCATCCTGCGTCAGCTCACGGGAGCTGGGAGCACCGGCCCCTCCTCCACGCGACACCGCCGAGGCGCTGACGACCATCCAAAAGCGTAGGGCCCGAGCACAGTGGTTGATCCGACACGCAGAGGCACGCCGCTCGTGCTATCCGCAAACGTAGCGGATTATATTGGGTGCGTACTCCGTACTTGCTACTAGTATACCATGAATGCATGAATTGTTTAGTATTCTGGTGAAATCCTCGGGGTTACCATACTGAGATCTAGAATCTAAGATTGACTAGTACCAGGCATGGCCGCTTTTTCCCATATCTTTGCTCTTTGCATTACGTATACTAGTAGATGCCTTTTGGAATACTCTAGCTGCAGCTATGCTCGTTGGATGCAAAATCAAGCTAAGGTGCCAGCTTAATACTACTGCATGCTTGCTAGTAGTAGATGCATGCTAGCATAAGAGCAACTCCAAGAGTTTGTCTAAAACTAATAGCCAAATTCCTTATTTTAGCCATTGTGTAAAATAAAAAAAGTCTAAAAAAGGACTCTACAACAGTATAGCTATTTTGTGTCTTGTATATTTGAAAACATGCTATTTCTGGATAGGGCCAAAAGAAATTCATGAGGGGGAGGGGAGCGCCAAACAGAAATTCATGCAGGGAAGAGGGATAGCTAGTGGCTGCTGTGTCATGTGTGCTATTTGTAGCTAGAGAGAAATAAGGGATACATGACTTCTTATTTTAGATTACTGGATACAATATCTATTGGAGTCCTGTTTTTCCACAAAAAAAAGTCTAAATGTAAACTCCAAAACAAATATACACCATCTGTTGGAGTTGCTCTAACACTGTATTCATTTTTGTGTGGGTGGATTGCTTAGTGCTACTAGTTCGTATTAGAGTGACATCTGCATCTAACATTTAGGAAAATGGTCGCTCAGCTGCTATCATGCTCATAAACCTATTGCTGAACTGGTGCTGTTTTGATTAACAAGACTACCTTCTTGTGCTACAGGCGATCCTTCGATGGCAGGCGGCAAGGGAGCACATGGGGGTAGCTGGTTCATTCGTCACTTGCGGATGAAGCACGCCTTGGGCATCCCATTGAGCCATAGGATGTGGCCCACCAGGTAGATGCGTGGCCGGGATCATCGTCGTGGAACTTGGTTTGACCGGGAGCTAAACTGCATCGCCATCGAAGGAGTGGATTTTGCTCAAGATACAGAAGAAGGGGGTGCAGATCGATTTGAGCTGCTACCTGATTCGGATGAAGATGGAGTTGCTAAGGGTTCATCTTTGCTTGGTGATGACGATGAGTATGTGCCTGAGACAGAGCCACAAGATGTTACTATGGCAAGCAAAATTACTGGGCCGTGCGCCAACCATGGTCGTCTGCATTTGGGGTCAGCCATCTAAATGTTGTCTTGCAATTTGGTTGTCATACTGGTACCTTACTAATTTTGTGTACAAATTCTGTGTGCATTACTGCGCTTCGCGAGTGGTGACGGCTTATTTCTGATGTGGAGAATGAGAGCGCCAAGGTGCAGATGGACACCGTCAAGTTGGAGAAGGAGAGTGCCAAGATGGAGATGGAGAGTGATAACTTTGTGATGAGTGCCAAGGTGCAAATGGACACTGTCAAGTTGGAGAAGGAGAGTGTGAAGGTGCAGATGGGCAGTGTCAAGTTGGAGAAGGAGAGTGCCGAAGTGCTGATGGGCAGTGTCAAGTTGGAGAAGCAGGGTGCCAAGGTGGAGATGGACAGTGTGAAATTGGAGGAGAGTGCCAAGGTGGAGATGGATACTAGCAAGGAGCTATTGGACCATAAGGCCAGCTTCTCTGATATTGAAATTGATGACGAGACATGTTGGTTCCAGGATGGTGTGGACTTGCGAGGCCATTCACAGGTGGAAGATGATGACTTTAATGATCAGGTATTTTGGTTGTAACTCTACCCGTGACAGCTTTTGTTGTTTACCCGTGATGGGAGGAACTTGTAGAAGGGAATATGTAGTGCTGGTACTGAAGGTTGTTGGTTGATTGCACTATGGATTATGGTCGACCAGTTTAGTTAATTTGTGATTTGCAATGTGAAATGCACGTATCTATATTTCATGCATGGTTTAATTTGTGATTTGCAATGTGAAATGCATACAACAAGGAATTAGTTGCCTCACACATAATAGTTCTGTTAATAGAGCAATGATTCGTACTTCATACAACCACATGAGTATTAGATACGAACAAAAGCAACTTAAATCTTGTTTATATATACAACAACAGTATTTGATAAACAATGCAAAAGCATCATAAGCGAGGTTTACATGAACCTAACTTTAATTGTTCAACAACTCAAAAGCCCTTTGAACTAGCTGGCTATCACAACTTAGAGCTTCAGGGAGCATGTCTAGTGCCTCTAGCCTTTCTTTATTCATGTGAGGGATCTTGTACCTATTGCCTCCTCCATCTTTCATAACTTCGATCATGCATCCTTGTAGTGTGAGGAATACCCTATTCAAAATGACGGGGTTGTAGTTTTCATATTCCATTACCACATTCTGGATAAGTTCATCCACGTTTCTAGATGTCGTTCTATCCGTTATCGACTGAAGAGAAGCAAAAAAAAACCAAGGTCAAGGCAGTTCATATCAGGTGAATTAGCAGGCTGGTTAGTTAGGCGTATATCTAGGCCTGTTCGGGCTACTGCTAGCTTGAAATCTGCATCATCTGCTCGTACATGAGAAGGGGCATTATCCTATTGTATCCATATTGTCTCATGTCTTGATTCTGTAGGCCAACATTCTTGTATAGCTGGTATTAGTTTTGTGATCATATAAGATCTCATAGTTTGTCTATCAACCTTCATGGTCTTTGTGATAGGTGTGCCCCTCGGTCTGTTGTCACTTCTTCTTTTTGCTGGTTCCTGTAATTATAAGTAGTGTTGAGCCAAATAGCTTAAAATGGAATGCAAGTACTATGTAGAGAATGACTAGTACCTCACGCGCAAATGGCCATATGCCTATAAGTCCATTAAAATAGCATCTCCCTTCACCATCAAACCTAGGCCTTCTAACAGCAGAATAAAACATGATTTTGTGAATGGCATTCTTGTTTTGCACTATCCTATGTGGATCTTCTTCATCTGGATGCAAGTACATATTCTTCTGTGTACCATTGAACCACTTCTCATCTGAGTGAATAATATTTTTCATATTCTCGAACTTTGGATTGTTTGGCAGAGTACTTGCATCTAGCTTAGAGAGAACCCACCGCAACCTTGCCTGTTTGTTTTCTTCCTTCAAATAAGGCCTCAATGCATTTGAGTGTCGTCGTAGCATGCCTTCTTTGAACAACCTATGTACAGTGCTTTTACTGCTTTGAAGACCATATGCTAATGACCTTATGGTTCCCCTTCTGTTTAAGGGAATATCAGCAACCCTAGTGAGGTCCACTTGAATTTTTTACGACCACAATTCTTAGGTTTCAAAGAATTGACATCTACTGGTATGCCTTGTTCTAAACAATTTTTTGCTCTCTACCACACTCGTTGTATTGTGCGCACATGAACATTGTACTTTGCAGCAATAAGTGTTGTGCTGTTTCGCTGTAATATGCCATTAGTGCTTAACTGAAGCAAATCTTGATATATGTCTTGCCTTTGTCTTTGTGTCAAATTCTTGAGCATATTTGTTGCTTCTTCTTGTAGGGGTTGCTGATAGTCTTCGCCATCCGAGTCGGACAACCCATCTTCGTCAAATAGGATGTGAACACCATCTGTGTACACACCAAAATCATGTATGACATCGTCCAAGGTATCTTCGTGCAAGACCATGTTGTCATCTGCTACAAAAAATGTAGATTGTGTGCTGATTGTCAGTAAATAGATTATGGAACTTTTTTGACATGGAGAATTATTGTTGCAATCATGACTGTAAACTGAGGGAAATAATCACCTGTATGTAGGTTATCTTGTTCTTCCTGTGGGTCATTTAAATCAAATGCATAGCCGGCAGTGTCACCTGGTACAGAAGCAAGCTGATCAATTAAGAGTGCATTGTCACCCACACATGTGAGTTATTCTCCCTCTCTCGATACAACAGTTATTATTAGTTTAGAACAGAGAGAATAGACACCAAAATTTCTTAGATGTTGCTACACATTTTAGTAGTAGGGAGGAAGTAAATTAGAACATAAAAATTGAGGAGATAGAGTGAGGCTAGAGAGAACTGCTTCACAAAAGATTATGAAACTTTTTGATATGGACAATTATTGTTGCAAACATGACTTGAACATGAGTATTGAATAATCACCTGCATGTAGATTTTGTTCTTCTTCTTCATGTGGATCATTTAAATCAAATGGATGGCCAGCATTGTCACCTGGTACAGAAGCAAGCTATTGATTAGAAAATTGCATTGTGACCCACACATGTGAGTTATTGTCCCCTCTCATTCCAAATTAATTTTGAACTTAAGCAAATATGAGCTGCATGCCTTACACAAAAAAATTAACTAATGTTGCTTGCAATTTTATGAGACAGAGACTACACCAGTTGATACTGAACAGAGAGAGGATATAAAGGAGCCCTGCTGCAAAAAGCTTCAGATGACAGGTATACACTAAAAATTCCCAGATGATCATAGTGATTTTAGCAAAGAGGAACTAAAGCACCATTTACTAATTTAGGAGAGAGAGAGACTATAGAGAACACCTGGTACACAAGAGTTTCTTGTGAGAAAATAGTAGCAATAACTAAGTAACATGATGTTGCTTCTGATTTTAGAACCGAAAAATAAACAAGAGCATATATATAGAGAGAGAGAGAGAGAGAGGGAGAGAGAGAGATGAACTAGTTCAAGTTTTGGGTACAAACAGATGTGCTTACCTTGATGAATTTCTGCTTGTTCATCATTTTGATCAGGATGGAGACCAAAGTGGTCAGCTCGCCAAACTTCATCTACAGCCACTACATCTTGATCCTCTTCATGTCTGGCAAGAATCTTGTTGAGATCAGGCACCTTCTCTCCTCCCTCATCAGGTAGTGTGTTTAAGTCTAGCATGGAAGATGGATGAGAGGTGAAGGTTCAAATGAAGGCAACGAGAGGGTCACCAGGCTTTTATTTCCTAGTATATGGTCAAGAAATGGTGCTGGTGGCAATAGTTTGAAGTTTCAGATTGCTTTGGCTGTGTAAAATTGGCGCTAAGTGGTTTTTGCGGCAATGGTTTGAAGTTTCAATTTATTTTGGCTGTAAATTTGACGCTAAGTGGTGTTTGCCACCGGAGCAAAATGTATTTTTTTGTTGTCAGCATTGATTTTTTAAGAGAAAACAATGTACTGCATGTTTAAGTGTGAAAAGGTGGATGCCAATGCTGATTTGTTTATTTTAAAAAATGATGCGGTGGATGGCATTGATGGCATGTGCATCCAAATTCACAGTTGAGAAATGATTGGTATGTAAGGGTATCAATGTCTTTGGCCACTCTCTTTGGTATCTGATGTTGAGGCTCCGACCGACAGATAAACTGGGACGGAGGGAGTACTACCCTACTCTCTCGCCCTCCGGTGAAATCAAGTGCGCTGGGCGCAGGCCCAGGCTAAACGCCAATCGGCCCATATCAGCTCTTTCTGCTCACATCACATGGCCCTCCGCTCAGTGGCCCCAAAGCTTTGAGCCCTTACTTTTCGCACATCGGGTCAGGCCTGACTCCATCCAAGACAGAAAAAAAAAGAACTTCACTGTTCCTGTAATGGCATTTGTTAAACCACAATGTTCCCATAATACGGGACTGAAAATGCCAGTTATTAAACCTCACTGTTCCTGTAATGACCTCAGCAGTCCTTTATGCATACTAATGCACTCATAAAAAAAGGAAAAAACATCTATCTCCACAAGGAAAAGTTGCACACGAAGCACCACAAACGGAGCGGAACACGCCACTTGACACGATCGAGCAAACATCACTGATCCAACCGTGTGCTGAGGCGTCTTGTTCAAGCGCCGAAGGCTTTCATGGGGTCCTTGGGGTCGATCTCGTGGAACAGGGGGAGGTCGGATGGGAGCCTCTCCTGGCTGAAACCGATGCTCGCCAGCGTCTTCACCACCTCGTCGAACAGGATCTTGTTTCCTGCCGGCGTGAAGTGGAGCCCGTCGCTGCATCGTGGCATCAAAATGTTATCCCAGGCTTTCGCTTGGAAGAATACACTAATAATCAGGACTGTAATGCATTCATTACCGATTTAGAATCACAATTATTTTCCAGGTAAGAAATTAGAAACGCAGCATTATTATTTACAAATACAAAAACACCGGTGCTACCGGGTATGTACATACCATCACTAAAAAGGAAAATCAACTGAACTACATCCTGAAAGTTTCCTTCTACAAATTTCCAAACAGCATTACAAGAACAAAGCCTACTGATCTTAGCAAGTCGTAGCAACAGCCAACAGAAAAATAAAAAATGTGCATAAGTTCCTCCACCTTCCCTATCACGTCTGGAAATATTCAGTGTACAGTGCTATGATGTGGGAAAGAAATGTAAACAGCTTAAAAACTAGACACGCAAAAATAGTAACTATGTGTGTTCTATCCATCTGAGGATGCAGAATTTTACTTGACACCGCAGAAGCTCTAGAAAAACAAGGTCACACATCTAAAAAAAAAAAGGTCATGGAATTCATTATCTTATAATATTCAGGTATGTAATGTTACTTGGCCCTACTACCAGTTTGAGCCTTTGACGTCGTGAACTCATGGAGTCGTTGTGCTTCAAGTATAGCACCTATAATCTGCACAACAGAGAATCAAGTTCGATGACCTCTATCTATCATTTTTCTTATTGTCTCGGGTGTACACATGAAAATACGACATCTACACTCAACTTAAATTTCGTATTTCAGATATTGGGGGTCGCATAGTTTCTATGTAACAGCCTACCCTAGATGACA